GTATATCATATTATTTACACGTTAACTATCTAATATTATAGAGTTTAAAATATATGAGTGTTCAGTATGTAACGTGTTTCTATTGTTCTTATTGTTTGTAACAATTGACCTGTTCATTTACTTACTGAACACTCTGTACATACATTTTTTATATAAATTTATCATTTTTGGTTTATAAGTAAAATTTTATTTCTACAAGCCGCCATTGGTATATTGAGACAATGTTCACCATAAAATTAATTCATACAATAAAAAAATACGTAAAAGTGTAAAATTGCATTAAAGTGATAGGTATAATTCGATTTTTATTAGGTGATGAATAAATTATTTTTATTAAATAATCTCAAGTAGTAACTCATTTATGACATTTCATCTTCAATATTTCTTCATCTACATTTCACTCTAATACATATGACCGTTAACTGACCATTTCATTATAATTTATTCAATTTTCGAGCACAGAAATAATATACAAAAGAATTAGGAATTAGCTCGTGCCTGATAGAATAAGTGCATCTTTGAATACTAAGTGGGTAGCTGTATGTGTTTTTGTGTATATAAATGCTAGTAAACAAAAGAAAGTTTTTTTTTATTACTCCTCATCCTTTTTCTAACGTATTATAAGTATATCGTATTAACTAAACTATTTCTGATATTTTTGTCATTGCATTAAAATCGATGAAAGACAGAAAGTTTCTCGTACCTATTAATTATTCATTTAGGTATACAATATTTATAAATAATGACTAATAGTAATGATGTATAAAAATCAAAAAATTTAACCACAAAATGAAGATTTAAAGAAAGAAAAAATTGTTTTCTACACAATTGACTGACCTCTTTTGATATCACCATTTCTATTTTGATAAATAATATAGTTTAAGATATTAAAATGTACAATAACTGAATATTATTATCATTATTGTCCTATTAAATTCTAGAAAATTAACAAATGATTTATTAATATTCTTTTGTTATTAGTGTCACTTTTTAAAAATTCCGTTATTGTCTAATTATGATAATAATATAAATAATGTTTTTTTTATCAAGATTTATTTTTGAAAACAAAATATTATTTTACAAAATATTTTTAAAAAATAATTATCATATTTTTAAATTTCTATTCTTTAAATTCGGATTAAAAATTATTTTTTAATTTGTCATAGGTTTAAACAAAATTGCTATGTTATCATTTGTAATCATAGTCGTAATTTCAACGAAATGTTTGAGGAATCTAACTTAATTTTTGTCCCTTAAAAGAATTTTTATATAAATTAACATGAAGTTTGCATAATTTTTGAATGTCTGTAATAGAATTAGGGTGGGATAGGTCTAATCTTGACTCCTCGATTTAAGACTAATGTTTATATTTATGATTTAGAGTTGTTTATGACAATAAATTAAAATTTATAAAAATACAATTTTATTAATTAAGAAGATCGTAAAATTAATTTATTCAAGTTAAAATTTATAATACAATATTTTATTTAGGTTCTAATCCTATAAATTTATTATCAATGCTTCATTAAAAAAAAATGGGAACATGATTTAGTTTTACACTAAAGTATTTTAGAGAATATTTAAACTAATTTTTTCAGTTTATACCAGTTAAATGAAATATAAACTTTACTATAATTTGCAATTTACAAAATGAAAAATATTTTTTTTTATTTGAAAGAATCATGAAGAATGGAACATTTCTTTATTAACCTTTGGTCTTAGGCGAATAGACTAAACAGAAATTTTTAGGATTAGGATTTTTAGGGATTTTTAGGAGGACAGCTGGACTGTCTTACAATTTAATCTATAATTGAGATTCCTTTTTTTCTCGCATTCTTTTAATTTTCGAGGATAAATCAAAAATTTAATTTGTATTTTTAAATTTCAATAATTTGCTATCAATATACTATAATATAAAGTTAAGATTTGTAAAATAAATTTCTGTTAAGACGAACTAAGAACGAAACCATTTGCTCTTTTATAAACTTAGTGATTTTGGTGAAAGATGTCCCATCTAATTTTTTCCGATGAGTCAAAAAAAAACTATCCACCTATGTTTCTACATATGCCCTTGGATCATCCTACTGATGTAAGGACGATTTTTGTATCGTATTCTGAACTTATCATAACTATTATCATTTTCTTGACGTGGATTGAAGTAGATCTATTATTTTGCTAATGATACTAAATTTAGACTTCAAAAGTTTTTCATGCAATTCATTAATAACCTTGTAGCTTGGAGTATATTCATTGTAATTTGAATCAATTGAAAAATATGAAAAATATTTACATAGCGTGTGATATTTAAACTCAGAACAAAGCCATTATTATAAATGATGCTATTTACGAAGCTAATAATCAGATTAATCATATATTATGATATAAAAATAATATATTATGTATTTTGTCTAATAAAGAGTTGACATTTTTCTAACATAATTTATTTCATTATTGTTCTAAGATAATATTCGCTACTAATGATTATCTATAGTAAATGTTTTAAACTTAAATTACTTTTTTGAAAATAGTGTATATTATTAATTATTTAAGTAATATATTATTTTGATAATATTTTTAAAATTTATTTACACTAAATTTTGACAACAGTTCTTAAAAGGGGCGACTATCCCTAAGTTTCGCCAGGGCATCTACCCTACCTTCAATAAATGTGGGTGGTTGATGTTCACCATATGTAGATCAACCATTATATGTAATTAAAATTTAATGATTAGATACTGAAGTTTTTATAAATTTGAAAACTTTATAATATATTTAAGTTTAAAAAATGCAGTTTCTAGAACGTTATAACCCGAGTAATAATTTTTATTCAATAGAATTTGTCAGAAAGCTTTCTTCAATTAAAAATTTTTTTTTATCTCAAAGTACCGTAAAAATAGCATTTACAAAAAAAAAAAAATTCTGCTCTTCAAAAATACTATAACTTTTTTTTTTAATAGTGTATATTAAAGACAATGATTTTTCTGATAATCCTAAATAAAGAAAGGGTTTAAAGAAGACACTTACAAATATATATATTTTTATTAACTCAACTTTTTTAAATGTTCCGGATTGACTGTATTCTTTCACCAACCTATACAAAATTAATATTCCACTATTGTTTTTATTAGAAAATGGACGTCAAAATAGAACAAATTTAATTTTAATAAAAATAAAGTATTTCTATTTAAGCGAATAAATTAATAAACATTTAAGGTTTAAGTGAAATTAAAAAAAAAAAGAAATTGTGAAATTATAATTATATAAATTATTGGGATATTTACACAAATTAATATCGGAGAGTTCTTTATGATAATGGTGATTATCACAGTCAGGTATCATTAATACTTTTCTCACTTTACTGCGACCCCACTGTGCCGGGTTTTTTCTATTAAAGAGTTAAACATTTTTTGAATAACTTCAAAATTTTTTCTTTAATCTCCAAAAAAAATCATTAAAAAAATAAATAACCTAGTTTTGTAAAGAATTTATGCCTTTATCAATTTTTTTTCTAAATATTGAAAGATAAATATTAGAGGTAAACAGCAAAAATAGGACAAGTAATTCTTAAGGGATGTGAAGCGATTTTTAAATAAAAAATGTTTGCTTCCCCAAATATTTTTGATTTCGGCTCCACTGGTACATATTGACAAACGTTTTTAGTGTAATAATTTTAAAGGGCGTAATGTTATGTTATACATTTTTCTTAACTATTGTAAGAATAAAACTTGAAATTTAGTATTATTATTTTTGATTATGTCTTTAATAAATAGTAATAACTATATTTCCTTTGCTGATTAATTTTAAACAAAGTTGATTGTTTTAATTAAGATACACAAAATACAAAATTGCGCATTTTAATTTTGTTCCAAGGTAATTAGAAAAATTAAATTGTACTAATAATTTAGTTTTATTAATAAAATGTAAAAAATAAACAAGGGTTAATTCTAAATTTATGAATTACTCAATGGTAGAAAAGATGTTATACTCTAATTTTTTTATATTGTTTCATTTTTTTTTTCTCAATTTTTGATGATTTAATCAGTACCCAAATATATATTTATGGGTGTTTTGATATATCATGTATACTATTCAGGTGTGTGCCGAGGGATAAGGATGAGGGATATATTACCCCATCAGTTGTTACTCAAAATAATATGGTAGATGACTTTGGTAGATTTTAGTTAAATTATTAGCAGTGTAATTTAGTTAACTTAAGTTTTTATCTATTTCCCTTGCGTTATTATGGTACATATAATTAATAGACAATAATTCATTTATAAATAAAATTGTTTATTTTATAAATGGTGTAGATAAAATATCTAAAAACATAGGTAGGTCTTGTAGATCTTCAAACTTCGATTGAGTTTTTTTATTGTTTTGTATTTTAAAAACATTATTTTAACAAACAATTGATATTTTTTAATTTACATTAATATAGTATTATCAGTATTTTAAACACGATATTCAGGGTACTATTAACTAAGACTAGGAACCCTACTGCTTACATGGTAAACACAAGAAAAAAATCTGAGGACTAAAATCAAAGGTCATAGGAATAACACATATTGATAATATCTCCCCACCTCCTTCCATTTAAAATTTCTAGGTACGCTACAAAGAAGTACTTGATATTATTAATATTTATTCAATTTATCTATTAAAATAGATTTATTTGAATTATCTTATTGAATACATAAATACTAAACTATCTCGTTCATTTAAAAATTATTATTTAATGATGCAAACGTGTATTTTTATGTATATATAATCATCCAGATTTCTATAAAATGAGTATTTAATTAATTTACTCATATATAGTATTTATTAATTTAACAATTAAATACAACAAATAAACAGTATTAAGATAACACCACAAGAATAAATAAACAATAAAGCAATGATTGGTGCGCACGCACATTGTACTCTTATAGGTAGTGCAACCCACTTTCATGTGATAAGCCTTGCCGGCTTAAGAATAATGGTTTGAAACTTCTGAGCAACACTGACAGTACGTTGACTACTTTCCTATTAAAAACACTTAACTGTTAAAGTTTGAAATAAATTAGATTAACTTAAATTCGTACCTTTCTACAACTAATTTTGTCATTTTAAATTAATTTTATTATTAAATTATAACAGTCAAATGGCGTCTAAGGATATAATTATTTCATAAAAGAAGGTAAATATTGATATATTTTTATTAGAATAAATTAGAATGAAAAAAAAAAATTACAAACAAAATTCAATTATACAATTTTTTATTAATATCATAAAACAATCTAATTTTCAATAGTTTTATATGAAATAATTGTATTGGATTTCATTCAATATAATTATATTTTCAGAGACCTGAGAATCCATTCGAAAATAAGCAACAATATTTTGGAAAAAAACTAAGGAAATTTATTTGAATCACATTAACTCAAATATGATAAAAACGTTTGAATAAAAATTACATAATTTTTGAGTTAATATTATTTAGATTGAGGTATGTGATTTTAAATTTTGAACTATTTTTTAGAATTTAATTCTTAGTAATTAAATAATATATACTATCATTAAAAAAATGTTTTTAGGTGTAGAAAAATTCATCACATAAAATGAATTTTTAATAAAGAAAAGATTTGTTTAGCCATTCTTTTTCTTAGCCCTACCAAAAGTGTGTACTACAGCATTATTTACGTAATTAATATTATTGTTTTATTATAACAAAGCCTGGAAAACAAACGTGTTTGTATATGAATGTATACAGATGTTTTTTATGAAAGTATTTGTTCATAATCTATGCAAAATGGTTAATAATTTATTTCCATTAAATTTCACAAACATTTAAATTAAGTGCAATTTTTGTAGCTGAAAAATATTAACTATAAATTTATAAATAATTATCATTCCATTATTAAAATTTATAACATGTTATTATGTATACATTGTATAACATGTTGTATTTTTAAATATATCTACATAATATGACCAATGTTATTAATTATAAAATGTATAAATTTTAGTTAATGTTTCTAATTTTGATTCAACATTTTTTCGTGACATTATTCCAAAATTTACCCGTAAATATCAACTTTGTTGCAATTATGTACACAAAAAATAATTTTGGCCTTCAAGTAAAATAAATAGTGCAAAAGTGACAAGGTTAATAATTTAAAGTGAAAATATTATTGTTTTTTGAATCTACTATCTTTTGATAAAAAGTTAAAATTAGGTTAAAAAATTAACTGTCTTATGTTAGAAACAGCGCAATATAATAATGTATTCTTACATTGTTTTAATAGTCCAACCATTTAACCCTTTAGACTTGTAATTAATAATACATCATTAGCAATAAGTAATAATATTATAATTAGCTATTTTGTCTGGAAATGAAAGTACGTTTAAACTGAGACTAAATAATTAAATCTCTTATAATAAAACCCTTGCCAAATTTCATGTGCAATTCATTTTTTTCATAAATGATCAGTTTTCATCCTTCTATTTCCCCAACTTGCTACAGATGGTGGTCCCCTCTTTCACATGTTAGGGAGTCAAAGATTGTTCTCGCCTTGAGTTAGAGTCCAGATACCACTAATAAAAAAATCACAAGGAAAATCTCGTTGGTATTTTAGGGATCGAATCCCATTAGACCCCGTATGCCTAATCATACGTTTCCAATCACTAGGTCGACCCAAATTCATTATTTTCATAATACATAAAATTAATTACTAATCATTAATTTTATTTATTACTCTTCAGCTATTTAAGATACTACGACAATAACAGAAATTATGAAATACATCTCATTTTTGCACATTTTTTTTGTTTAGTTGGGTAATGAGATAGATGAATTTTTATTGTTACTTAAAAAGTTTATATCGTATAATTTTGGAGTATATGGCTTGAATACAATAGTATGAGTTAAATTTAAATAATTAACGCACAAGTCAAAGCTGCATGTGTTTTCAATCAATAAAGTTGTTTAGATAATCATTCAGTGTTTACTGGAGATTCTGTGTAGCTTTAACGTCACGGTAGTACTGAAGTATTTTTTTCAACTGGGAAGTGGGGACAATAATCATGTAATCATATTTGTTGAACAGATAAATAGCAGATAAATATGTATACAAATAAGTAATAGTTTAGTTATAGTCTCGATCTATACAAATACCAGCCGCATTTCCTGTACGGTTTTCTTTCGAAAAGAAATGTTTTTTTTCATCAATGCATTAAAAGAAAATACGTCTGTTTTCGTATAAACCTGTTTTACTATTATAAATTGTGCGATTCTGTGACAATTATTGTAAAAAAATCAACATTGGAGATCCAGATATAATATATTTATATTCTTGTATCTATTGAATACACACGACCTGTTTTTTGAATTTGGTCATAATAATTTGTTCTTATTCTGTTTACGTTGAAATGAGTCCTTAACACAGACCTATTGACCTGTTAATAAGTCGATAAATAATACTCGGAAAGGATTATTGGATTCTCGTACTTATAGATACATAATAAATATAATTTTATTGTTATTTTAGCTATTTTTAAATTATGACGGTTACAATGAGGAGCGTTAGTCGTGAAAATATGGTTTTTTATTTTTTGTCACTTGCCCTAGTGACCAGTATAGATGCCACCGGCATTTTGTATCCCAGAGAATCTGAATCTCGGGAAGTTAAGTCACTTGATGGTATGTGGAACTTCAGATTATCAGAGCCGGATGCTTTGATTGGATTCAAAGAAAAATGGTACATGAAAGATTTAAGCAAGGTAGATACATTTCTTACTTAAAACCGTAAATAAAATAGTTGAAATAATTTTATTGAACTAGTTCAATAGCTATTAATCTAATAATCTAAAGAAGTCGATAAGTAGTGACATAAAGAGTGTCTCAAATCCAACTGACAACGCTTATAACTTAGCTATTTTTAAACTAAAAAAAAAAAGAAAAATTTTTATTTCTTCTTATTCATGATAAGTAATAAAAAATATGCTTTAAACGTAGCCTATTTAAAAAATCAATAGTTATTAAAAAAAAATATATCAACAAAATGATAATTGGTTCAAAAGTTAAAAGAGTTGTCGGATTTAACCGACAAACCTTTTTATATTATAGGCAAGAAAAACAACCGAAAACTTAAGATATGATGGTACATATATAATGTAGTAAATAATCAGAAAATACCTAGTGTTAACTTATGGCACTTATGATTTAGCTGTAAAAGTAGATTTATTATTTCTAAGAACATAATCAGAAAAAAATTAGCGATTAAAAATTTCGTATTTCTATAATTTACATAAGTTTTGGTATAATATTAAATAAGTATTAAGCTTTCGATTGTTTGATAATAAATAGGAAATGTTTAAAAGTCATAAATCATAAGTATATATATACATTTATTAAATAATTAACTTAATTATGTGTTATATATGACAAAAATGCATTTTTACACAGCTATCAGACAACAATAAATTATCTAACTAATTTTTCATGGATTTTGTTTTATAGCAATTTAAACCTTATTTTTATCACAATAGAAATAAAATAATAGATAGTATAGCTATGGTGAAGATCGCGGAGGTAGGTATTTCTTAAGTTTATGATTTAATCTTTGTCTCAATAAAATAATTTTGACAAAAAAATGATACCAGAATTAGATGGCTTAATTCTGCTTAAATAATTTGGCAATTATTTTTTTTTTTTCAATAAATTTCACTCATCATATGCAACCAAATAGCCAATTCAATAAAAATTGACTACCAAAAAATAATTGAAAAAATACGTTTTACAGTATTTTTTATTACTCTAGTAAATTGTACGAGTTTCAAATAAATCAATACCACTTTAAATCTATTAGTTTATAGGTCGTATTTTTTTTATAAAATATTATGACTTTGGCTTTATTGTATTAACTAATAGTGATAAAAATATGACAATATATAATTTACATAGGCATATTACGCCATCGCCAATAGAGCTCATATAATATTATATATTGGTATGCTCTTGCAACTAATACAATTTTTTGAGAACAAAAATATTTTAATAACAAATTTTTAGAGCCCCAAAAGATCACTTACGTTCAGTAATATTGAAATTATTATTATTGAATTTAATATGTATAATTATGCATACATACTTAACTAATCCCAAGTAAAAAATTAGAAAAACAGCTTTTTATAAATTCTATAAGTATTACTAATGGCTTTGTTGACGGAATGAGATCATTTTCTGCCAAATCATATATTCAAAACTGGGAAGTTGGCGGCTGCTACACCGACATACGTTTTCCAATGCAGTACATAACTCTAAAATGTTTATGCGTTTTGTTATTATTTACAAAATCACTACTGTCTATGCATAATTACTGTGGTCATTGTTATTCCTATTATATAGCATTCATAATAAACACTTAGGGTCGATTACCTGCAAACCGAACATGTGTTGTATCCCTGCGTTGGTGTTTAAAAATATAAAGAATAGGTGCCATTAAAATTTAAGTTCGTGAATAGGTCTCGTGAATTCGAAGAAAACCTATCAAAATATACATAAATTGGAAATAATTTATTGGTTAAGTTCTAATTCGACATAAATATAACGAAAAAGAAATTGAAAATTTCTATACTTTTTATCCTCTAAGTACTTAATCGTTTCAGAACCATTATTTAATAAAAACGTTTATCGCCTAAAATATAACATAAATCGACCACTTTTCGCCACGACTAAGACATGATAATAGATGTCTTGCTTAATAATTATTATTAAGTAACATTGTAATTAGATAATACTAATTTAAATTGTACATAGAAAATATTTTTTGAGTAAAAACGATTTTTCTTTAAAATAAATTATTATTGTTTATTACCTTTAACTTTAGAATTAATGAATTGAAATTAAACAAATGCATATTTTTGAAAAATTAATTAGCTCAGTATCACATGTTATTCTTAGCTTATTTGAGCATGAAGTTTTAAATTAAATATTTTTAAATAAAATTATAAGAAAAATTTTTCCGTTTTCATATGTTTATTTAGTATAATTTACATCATAATCCGTGATCAGCTAATTTGTTAAAATTTATTTAAGTTTGTATTACATAAATTTTACACTCAGAGGTGATTCTAGAGATATTTTTAGGAGGATATGAAGTAAATTTTGCTGAATTTTGGTTATAAATTTTCCGACTTAAGGACCCTAACAAGTAAAAAAGTTCACAGTTTATTCTAAAAAAGTTAACCACTAATGACTTTGTTGGATGTTTCGGGGAAATGACCACCTCCTCACCAAACACACATTTCCCCCAAGAAATAGTTCTTTTGAATCAGAATTTATTATCTAAAAAACACACCATAATAGTGCTATAAGTTGACAAAAATTTAGTAATTGTTTATTAATAGATATCAAATGTATATTTCGTATAAATGTTATAGTTTGAATAGAACTATTTTTATATCTCAATGTGTGTGTTTATTTTATAAAGTAACGATGATAATTTTGGTCTTCGAGTTTAATTACTCGAATTATACACAATAGTTAAGCAACTATTTTGTTTGAAAATGTTAATGTAAACTAAATGTATTTTATCTATAAAATGAATGAATAGACCTATATAGCTATTATTCTATTCATTTGTTTATTTTGTAAATTAAACTAGAAAAATATAATATGATTACATATCATAAGATTTGTTAGAATATGAACGCCGTCGTTCTTAAATCATCTTGATTTCATTATTGTTTAGTGAGTGCTAAAAAAGTCTTTTGTAATACGAAAGTAGCATAATTCAATGTGCGTGATGTACCATGACACATATCTAATATCTATTAAAGTCTAATACTTATATATTACATACTTTATATAATTTTCTGACAGACTGATCTTGCATCATTAATCTTTTATTTTATTTATCATTTAAAAAATACTTATATTATGTATTTAATATTACCAATACTTGTAATGTTGAAACAATATGATAATTTTTTAGTGATTAATTACTAAATTAGTATTAATCAATATACATGTTATGGTGCAAACTTTAATTTGATAATTGTTTTAAAGTCTGGCCCGGTTATTGAAATGCCCGTACCTAGCAGTTACAACGATGTTATGGTAGACAAGAAAATAAGAGATCACGTGGGTCTCGTTTGGTATGACAAGTCATTTTTTGTACCTGAAATATGGAGACAACAGGGCTATAGAGTGTGGCTGAGATTCGGGAGCGTCCACTATGCTGCTCAAGTGGTAATTTTTTTACGGTTTTTTAATAAGAATTTACTTACAATTATAGTACCGTTTTTTTTTTCTAAAATCAAATTTCTCAGAAGAATAAATTAACAATAGAATATGCAATAAAAGTAAGATCGTAAAAACCATTACTGAACCAAAAACTTGCATATGTTACTATTGACATAGATAATCCAATGTGACCTGTGTTCTCTACTCAATAAATGGTCTTAAAACGTTTATTCATATTATATTAGACCCGAGATGTGCGATCCAGTGATATTTATTATTTAATTAACTTTACAATGAATTTTGATTGCCTATTAACCTAAATATAACTCAAAATTATTTTTATACTGTTACTCAGTGAAACAAAATTTATAAAATGTAACTATAATTTTCAAAATAAAAATGTTTAAATTATTAAAAATTGTAAAAAAAAGTTTCCTTTCTAATTAAGAAATAAACTAATATATATTCAATTTAATAATTAGACATTAGAGTTTTTTACTTTCTTTTTTTATCATTAATTATGTTTAACATCTCTTCTCAAAGCTATTGCTTGTGCCAAAAAAAAAAAAAAATATACTCAGCATGTTTATTATCAAATTATAAAATTGTCGTTAATGAGAGTACGAAAGAGGGGGGTCACTAGAATAAAATTAATTACGTGAGGAAGATTATTATTATTTAGTAAATATATTCTCATACTAATCGATCTTAAATAAAACCTAATAATACTTAGTATGCAATTACAACTTCAATTGTAGTAGTTATTGATTGATTGATTTATATTTTGTATTTACTTTTATCAAAGTGGAACTCGGAAATTTATAAAGAAAAATGCGAAGCTATCATCATTTTATACCTCTACTATTAAAATTATTGGAATGTAATGAACTTGATTGATTTTTCATCACGTTCTATCACATTGAACAATTTTTCATTATGCATATTTTTATTTTAGTGGGTGAATTCCCATTTAGTTATGAGCCACGAAATTGGACATCTGCCATTCCAAAAAGATGTTACAACTAATTTGAAATTCGGACGTTTAAACAGGATAACCGTGGCCGTGAACAACGAACTGTCAGAAATAACTGTGCCCCAAGGATCCTTGCAAAACCTGACCACGTGAGTATCTTACGTTCACCAACATCCTATTTCCATACACATTAAACCTGTAAGCCATTTTCACTTTAATACGTTTTCTTAATATGAATCGTTTCAGAATTAATTATCGATTATACTTTCGAATATATATCTGCTAATTATTATTTTATAAGATTCTTGCAACGAGAATATTTTTTAGCAGAGTAATCGTAGTATTATTGTTGCATTGTAACAGTAACCTAACCTATAGGCAAATAGTGAAACAAATAACGCTTACAATAACTACATCTGATTTTAGTAACACCGAAGCCAAAGTAATCCAAACGTACACTTTTGATTTTTACAACTACGCCGGAATCCATCGTTCAGTATTTTTGTACACGACACCAATAGTTTATATTGATGACATAGATGTAAAAACTGACTTCACCGAGAACGGCAAAGGTATTTCTTAGTTAATCATTAATCGTTAAAAAATTCCTATTTAACAGTATATGTTAGTGTTATTTTAAAGAGGTATTCAATTTTGCTTCATCTCAGAGTTGTATGTTCTAGTCATTAGACATACAAATTGATCAACAAGTCAATTATAAATATACAATTAAAAAACAGTTAAGGAAAAAATATTAATCAGATATACATTGAAATGCATCTTCGATCTTTTGTTATAAATGACCTATAGCGTTGATTATTTTTTAAAACTTATTTTTATCATTTCCGTACTTATACCATATGATTGTTTTTTATCAGTGTGTAATTAGTAAGGTTCGGGACTTCAAGCATTTATAAAATTTGTTTAGCACACTTTCGAAACACTCAACTCAATTAAAATTTATCATAGGTATACATAATACCACATGAATTTTTTTGTTTTGTTCTAGAGGAACTGATCCCCCTACGCTCTCCTAAACTAAAATCCTAATTAATATACATCGATTAGGATTAAGAAAGACAAAAACGAATATCTATTTATCATTAATGTATTTGGTATATCTCTATAAATGCATAAAGTCCCGAACCGTATTAATTAGTAGATAGTCCATGCGAATTTAATGACTTTTTTTTATCATTGTCTAATGAATGCATAGGCGATTACAAGTTAAAAATAAGTTATTGTCTAGATTTTTTGGGAAGGATTTTTAGATTATTTTTATAATATTTAGTGTCTATATTCTAAAAACTAAAACCAAGATAATCAACTTTTCAAAAGTATTATTATCGTTAACAGAACTTTAATAGAGGTAAGGATTACACACTAGTAGCGTACGCGGGAGGGAGGTGTTATAATGTACATGAATTGATGACTTTTTTTTACTCATCATTTTAAAAAACTCTTCCTTTCACTGTAACAATATAATTAATAAAAGTAAAGAACATTAAGAAAAACGAAAATCAACGAACAATACAACTAATGTATATAATTTGATATTAGATAAAATTGTAAACAGACCAAAGCCGTGGATATTATAGATGTACAATGGTATAAGGTAACGAAGCGACGTTTATGATTAGAAAATATTTGTCGTTTTAATTACTATGGGCATGGAATCTAGTTTTTATGATTTTCTTATTAAAAATATTTTTAATCAGAAGATTTTTCTCAAATTATTTTGATCATCAATCAATTTCTAACCATACTTAAATTGATCAACAGAGAGCTTTCCGAAGATTCAATCAATCAGTTTATTTCAGGTCTTACTGATAAATACTTACAATGCATAGAAAAATATAAAATATGAAATATATACAGGACAAGATAATAAAAATCTTGTTCTGTACTTATTTCGTTTCAGTATCTTAATCATTAGGATACTTATATTTATTTTTGTTACAAATCGTTACGCTCCACACATAAACTCGGAAGATATAAATAGAAGTTATTTTTATTTAATTTTAATGTACATTAAGTATAATTCTGTTTCTTTTTACTGATTGTATCGTTTAAGAATTGTGGATAAAAAATATTTATTTATCTACTTTTGAGAATAAGAATGAAATAATACGATTGTAGTTAGTACAACGGAAATGAATATATGTTTTAATTATGTATAATGTACAAATACGTTAAAAACAACGTAAACAAAGACAGTGTACATAAACAAGTCTTTCACGCATGTAGTAGAACATATAATGATTACATTATTGCCTATGTCTATTGCATTTCATAAAAGATGCTGCACTATGGGTCACGTGTGTGATTATATCATGTGAAATTCTGGTCAATACCTTCACGATATCGTGATGGAAATTAAAATATTATCAAGATTGCGTTGACGACATATGACTAAGTATTAGATATATTACACTTGTAATAATACGAGCCAAGTGTTTGACACACGTTAAAACACCTTAGGGTTATATACATATTATTGACTGTCTTTCGTTTTTAATTTATCTTGGATGATTATCTACTAACATTGATTTCTGTTTATATATATATATTTTTATTTTTGTTTACATATTGAATGTGGATTCCATCATCTTTAAAACTATTTAATTATAATGGTGTGTTTTATAAAACTTACGCGTTCAAATATCCTAATATAACTTCAACAATAACTATTTTTCAATATTATTCTGGATAGAATGAAAATATAATATTAACTATATTGAAAAGAAATCNTGATTTTTGTTTGCATATTGAATGTGGATTCCGTCATCTTTAAAACTATTTAATTATAATGGTGTGTTTTATAAAACTTACGCGTTCAAATATCTTAATATAACTTCAACAATAACTATTTTTCAATATTATTCTGGATAGAATGAAAATATAATATTAACTATATTGAAAAGAAATCTAAAAGAAAAAAATTAGCTGTGTATTCTTTAATTTTAACTTAACTCAGCGATTACCAGAAAAATGTAAAAAAACAAAAATATAATATTGCATTTTAAGCAGTACTTTGAGATTCAACAATGTCAACACAAAAAAAAAAAAACAAAAACAATGGGAAGTTGAACATTTACTGACATTTTATATATATTATTAACAATAAAAAAAACAATCATTAAACAAAATGTTAAATATCTGTTTTTGACATGAGTTGTTATATCATCATAGGGCGCAGGTCGAACAAAAGTATTGGGTGATCATTATTTCTCCCCTTCTTAATAATATTTCTATAGAAATTTACATGTAATTTTTATAATTTTTGAGAAGCTATGACAGAATCAAGGGGGAGCTACGTCCCATCTAGTACCCCCAGATTGCGTCTATGCAAATCACTCGGCAAAATAAAAAATAATCTTAAACATTAAATACTTTTCGAATATAGTCAAACTAATTAGCAATTACTCTGATTATATTATTTCAATCACAACTTTTACTAGTCGAGTCTTATATTTGAAAAATAGTCTATTCCCAATAAATATATAAAGACATTATACTAAAACTTAGTTGACTATGTTCTGGTTTTTTCCTACGTAAACGGTACAATAGATTTATAAAAAAAGCAAAATAAAAAAAATGTTTTCCTTAGTATACCAATTGGTACTAGATTTCTAAGCTGTCGTGTTTTTTTTTTATAAACTAATAAACTAGTATCTAAAACAATATGTACATATTTTTTAATATACATATATTGTATATTTCATATATACAAAATAAATAAAATATGTATATATTTTTATCAAAAAGTAGGGAAAACGGGTCAATTGTTACAAACAATGGGAATAATAGAACCCCTTACTTACTGAAAACCCTATATAATAAATACTTGTACATAATTAGTTGATAATACAAAATTGTTATATGATCAAATAATCAATATATTTGCAATATAAAATAATATTTATGCACAAAACATGCATTTTTGAATACAAAAGTACTTATGAGTTAAACAATAAGTAAAAAAACGGGTTAAATATTATATAAGTAATGGTAAAATAAGTTTTTGTTTGATATTTATTTGATATACTTTAATTTTATAAATTTGTTTTTAAACACTTATATAATATATAGGTACATATAATAATACATATTATTAAGAAAACTAATCAAATTTTAGTTTCAATAAAAGTATATTGTTATTCTGTTAAAAATTAATTCATTTTTTTATTACTACATATTTTTAGGGATAATCCATTATTCTATTTCTTATGGAGGGTCATTAAGCAATGGAGAAGTTTTGAATTGTTCGGTAACTTTATTAAAAGACGAAAACGTCCGAGAAAATTTTAAGGTGAAGGCAAATAATCCTGAAGGTTTGTCAGGTACAATTGAAATTGAAAACGCTAAACTTTGGTGGCCGTTCTTAATGAGTGACGAACCTGGATTCATGTACACGTTGGAGGTTTTATTTGTTAAGAATTTCCTCTCATACAGTAGTTAAATTGTTTTTTAATTTACAGATAAAACTTTCGACTAACTGGCATGTGGATGACGTTTATCGGTTACCAGTAGGTATCAGAACAATTAAATGGAATAACGTCTCATTATTGATCAATGACAAACCGGTTTATCTTAGAGGGTTCGGGCGACATGAGGATTCAGACGTGAGTATATTCATATTCCATATTAGACATTAAAATGCACTGAATACCATATATTTTTCGTAATTGATAAAATTGTTTTTTTTTTTTAGTTTCGAGGAAAAGGCATGGATTACGCTTTAGTAACTAGAGACTATGATCTCATCAAATGGGTTGGAGCTAACTCTTATAGAACATCTCACTATCCATATGCCGAGGAAATCATGGACTTTGCTGACAAATATGGCATAATGATTGTGGACGAGTGTCCTAGCGTTAATACAGAGTATAATAACTTTACAACATCTCATAATTTACTTATAAGTAGTATAGAAAAAATGTTTCTTGTTCATTTATTCATAATTTTTAAAAACAATATGTATATTATAATGGCGATGTCGTGCAAAGTAATTTCATTTAATGAAAGACTTCAAAAAGTTACAATAACTCTAATAAATAAAAACAACAGAAAATGTTATATTTTTCATTAGTTAAATCACATTTAAATCGAAAACTTTTAATCATTTAATGAACTTTTCAACTTTAAATTATGGTTACAAAAAATAAAAAATAAAGCCTTTCACTTAGTTACTTTTTGTAGGACGGCGACGATATATGTTACATTAATCTAAAACATCTATGGACTTCAACTAAATAATTTTTCCATTATTGTTGGAAACTAATAAATGAAATATGGGGTGTACAGTTCAAGAAATTAGTTTTTATAAAATAAATTTAATATAAAATAAAACAATTTTAGAAATAAAACTTAATTTATTCAAGTAACTTAAATTTTAAATTATTTTTGGTAAATCGATTTTTTTTTTAATTTTGAATAAAGTTATAAATGCTATTGACCCATATTATCCAACAGTCTAGGGAAGTTGGATAATATTGATAGTCAATGTTCTAAGACTTTGAAATGCACATGTTTATATATTTCTTCTCTCAGACAATAATGATTAACAAATATCTATTACACTAATCCATAAAATTATGTTAAAATTTCAATTATACCAATATATATATATATTTGTTTAGAAATTATTCAGATAAATTACTGAAAAAACATACCGCAAGTTTAGCAGAATTAATAAAAAGAGACAAAAATAGACCAAGTGTTATTATGTGGTCTATTGCAAATGAACCGAGATCGGATCAAAAAGAAGCTGACAGTTATTTCCAGTAAGTTAAATGCCCTATAAATAACATTAGGCAACACAACATACTTCACATACAATTTGTTATTATTCTTTGCTCATACTCGTTGAGCGATACCGTATTATATATTATCTAATAGTTAATGAGTTTCGATTAACAAATATCAAAATTATTTGCTAAATTATTTTTAATTTTCTAAATTCAAATACTTTTTTGAATAGGGCTTTCCTAATTATTTAAAGTATGCTGTATAATTTATAACTAAAATATGACAGCGTTTTGTTTTCTTTATTTTAACTATACATATATATTGCTCGCAGTAATAAAGCAAATGAATGTGGTTTTATTTAAAATTTTTATGTAGGTTTGTTGCAAAATTTGTGAAGTCTCTGGATAAATCTCGTCCAGTTACTGCCGCTCTGAACAAATGGTACAGCATTGACAGGGCGGTGAGTAATCAATCATCCATTGATAGAATTTGGTATAAAAGCACAACAATTTTATTGATTAACTATACTTATGTTTTACTGTAATTAATATGCATTTTGTTGGTTTGAAAATAAATAAATCTTCTATGTTCTTTAAATAACTTTAAAAATACTCCAATTTTCAATCTCTCAGTAGTTAGCTGATTTTATTAGTACACTTAACACAACACAAACACTAATAATTAAAGTTTTTATTTAAAATAAGCTTATATATTCACTTTGAATGTACTAACACCTTTTGTTTTAGATCCGTAGCTTCCTTTACAAAAAGCTTAGATTCGCGGCCAATAACCGCAGCTATTGCGACAAATGTCGAAACTGATCAATTGGTGAGTGGTTGGATACGCCAATCTTCTTCTTTATCTCTTTTTGATTTTTATTATTTTAATAAAATAGTGTATCATGCATCTAAAATCTTCTTTGTGACTTTTATAAACACAGGCTTGACTTTTCTGAACATATTCTTTGTAAAATATTACCTGTAAACTAATAATTGATAATCGATTAATTTCAATTTCTGTCCACTGCTCTGTCCTAGTCACCTGTATTATTAACTTAGATTTTTGAGCATGCCTTCAAAAATAAAATACTTTATTATTGTCATGTATTAATTTTTTCCTAAAATGAATTTTCTATAGGCAAAACACTTGGATATCATTGGTTTTAATAGGTACAACTCTTGGTATTCAAATGCAGGACACACGGAGATCATAAAGTCGAAAGTAGAAATCGAAGCAACCAGATGGCATGATAAGCACAACAAGCCGGTTTTTATGACAGAATACGGCGCCGATGCTGTAGCCGGTTTACACATGGTACATTTTTTTTCTTACACATTTTAATGTATTCAATTTTTTTCTCCACATTACTAATTGTCATCTAATTTTGTTTAGAATCCTTCATTTGTTTGGTCCGAAGAGTATCAAGTGGAACTAATGGCTGAACATTTTAAAGCGTTTGATGTCTTAAGAAGTAAAGATTTCTTTATTGGTGAAATGATATGGAACTTTGCTGATTTCAGAACAGATCAATGTGAGTATAGTGTAGTATTAGGTACCCATAAAACTGTTTTCAAATTTTTAAATATTTTACCAAACTTGTATGGCAACAATGTCACAACCCGAGGGTTGGGGGGTTGTAATTTTGTATTAAAAAAAATCAAATATTTTAAACTTTTAGCAAAAGAAAGGATATGTTCATTATATTTTACTTATAAGAACGTCCTCTATTTAATATATTCAATACTAAAATAGCAGTTGCGATATTTTAAAATATGAATTAAATTTAAACCAATTTATATGATTAAAAATGATGTATATTTTTTTCCAGCTTATGTAAGAGTGGGGGGTAATAAAAAAGGAATATTTACTAGACAACGAGAACCAAAAGCTTCAGCGCATTACTTGAGAAAAAGATATTGGGCCTTGGCAAATCTTTTAGACGGTGCACGAGTTCCTGATAACTTGAATTCCTATGTCACGGCAAACGAATGTCAAAATCACATTGAGCTTTAATTGTTATTACATAGGGATTATACTTTGTTGATAATAATTATTGTTACTTATCCGACCTCGAATAAATCAGGTCGGTGTTTAATTAAATTACATTATTTGACTGTGAAAAACATTTAATATTTATTTTTAGTATCGTACAGACAACGATTATGAAATTAATAATGCTGTATGTATTATGTATTATTTTAATTCATTATTTAATTTAAATTAGATACTACTACTTATTAACTTTTATTTATTATAATTATTTTTGTTTTATTATTTAAAAAAAATTATACTGGCCTTTTTAGCTTCGATGCGAAGCTGAGAAGGTATTGGTTTTACTATGATGTGTTTTTTTTTTTTTTTTTTGTCTATTACCACTTTTTCTCAGCTCTCACCGAACGGATACAATACGTCAAAAGATCACAAATCGTATCTAGTCGAAGACATTACCTTTCAAAATTGAAAAAATTTCCCTCGTTCCCCGTAAATGGGGGAAACCTCCAAAAAAGTTACAAATTTAAAAATCGCTAATTTTCGAAATTTTTTCAATTTTTTTTACTAAAAACTGCCGTAACTTTTTCAAAAATGAACATATCAATATAATTTTTTTTTATATAGATGCTTGATGTCTTTACCTATCATTTGGTATATTTTTTTTGTAAATCTGACACTTAACCTGCCCACAGGGGGGGATTTAAAATGACAACTTTTTCAACTTAACTTTTGAAAATGTTTCGGAAGGTCTGACACTTTTATATATATCTGACACTTTTATATATATCTTAAATTAAAGCTAATGTAATGTACTTTAATTTGAAAAAAAAAAATTTGACCTCTGGACTTGTCTTCATGGTGAAAATGGCTACCGAATGCTATTTTTGTGTGAAAATTCTCGATTTTATAATTTACATTTTTTACTTTAAAGTGCTATAACTTTTTAAAAAATGTATGGATCAATACAATTTTTTCATGAGAAGTAGTATTTATATACATCTTTCATTGGACATACTTTTTTTTTTAATCGAGATATTAATAAGGAACCAGCAGATCAAGTAGCTTTTGGAATAAAACACCAATTTTTTTTAAATTAAACACTATCTAAAGATTTGCATCGAAGTGTTTATTTTTGATAGTGATTTTAATCACTGTCAGATATCATTATACTTGATCCAACTATACCACGGCACCACTGTGCCGCGACCCCCCTGTGCTGGGTTTTTTAAGTTATCAATATGTTGATTGTGTTGAAAAAATAATTCAGTTTCTTTGCTTCTGTATTTAATAAATCGTAAAAATACGTATGTATGCGTAATTTTGTGTTTTTAATCATTTTCGACTGACTATTATAAACTTTTTTTTACTCTTTTAGAGAACATACATCTTTACGTTGTACCGCACTAACACATTTTTGCGTCTAAAGTAGGTTATGATATTAAAAATCATCATCACACTTCACTCTCTTAGCATAATATTGGCTTAGCCTGAAAATCTAAGGTTTTGTTAATTAAAATAAGGTATAAATCCTCATAATCGTAACTGATTTTCTTAAGATCATACCTGACTACGATCAATTGTGTGCTAAACTATAAAAGCGTATTAATATTTCAAACATTTATACCTTTTGGTGTATTTTTTCGATTAGAAAAATAACAAAATATATTATAAGATATAAATGTTTTACGCACTTTAAAATTATGTTAATAAACATATTGTTTAAAAAAATATCTTCGTTGTGTAAAACAAACATTGTAGAAATATAAAAACACAATGCGCGGCTTCTACGATTGAGTAAAACCTTTCCCCTGCGTACTCAGCGAGGGGCGATGAAGCACATGGAGTTGTTGGGACCAGACGACGACGGTAGACTGTGTGTGTAATGTTATGTAAGTTGAATGAACGCGGTTACTGGTTAGTGGTGCGGCCGTGGCGGACGCGTGTGGTCGTGTTCTGAATTCTCCTCGAGTTTTTTACTCAGTACATCGTTATTCACAATAGGTTGTTTTTTTTATTTAGAAAAATCTGTGTAAACCACCTGTAGAATAAATTTTTAACTTAATGATGCTACTGTATTCAACATACTTTTAATATGGCTAATAAGTTCTTTTACTGACGGGTAAGTTGTATTCAATAAAATTTTTAATATTTAATTATATTAAAAATTATTCTTACATTAAAAATATAATTGTTTAACAGTTCTTTTATTGATATTTCATATAGTGAATACAATATTATTTTTGGTAAATATTAATCTATTAATTGGCATAATATAGTGTAATAATTGATGAAATTCGGAAGACTAGATCAGACGGTTGAGTTTGATTTATCAAGATAATTTTCTATCACATAACTCGATCATTTCTAGTATTCAAATGTAAATACGACCAGTATTCCTTTAATTTTTCGTTTTTATAATGTCTTAACATATCTTTTTAATACGTCTATTAATTATTTGTGCATTAATTTTACGTTCTCTGTGAAATCGTATTAATTACAATAAATAAATATTTTTTTTTTATAACTTGTGTGAAAAGTTTGTAGTGTAAATAAATATTAAACTATTCAAATTATTGAATAGTAAATTAGTATTATCGTTTAACACATAAATAGCTTGTACGTAAATAATAATTTATTTTTCGAAAAAAGTTATACGGAAAAATGTTAACGTGCAAATGTGTCTCATTTAATATATTCTGAGATAGCTTTTTTTAACATTTATTATTTATAATTGTTGTGCATATATCTCTTATAGCTTATTTGTTTTATGATAGTTTTTTTCCTTGTTTTAATTATTTTTTGCGTTTCTGAGTTTACTAAAAATGGAAGATGTTTAACAGTAAGATCAAGATATATATAGTTACATAGTAGTTGTAACTATGTACTGACTCAACAATTTCGAGTTGAATCATTTTTTTATTTCTATGGAAAGTCTGCTTTTGTCGTCTACCTAATTCGAGGGCTCTATCTTGTATAGTGTTTTGTGTTGTACTAATAAATAAAATAATAATAGTAAAAAGATAAAGTACTGAATACATAACATGTTCAAAATTGAAACCAACGGCCAGGAAGGCCGGTAACCAATTAAAATATTGTTGAAATATCGAGGGAAACATTTTTAATAAAAGTCAAACTTTTTATTTCTAAAATATTACTATAATATTTAAAACCCAATAATGTTGTGAATCATATTTAACATGATATGTACAATGTATTACTATTAGGTAGATAATTTTAACCACGACATTCGATTGGATAGGATTTTTTAACATATCACACAGCTTATTTATTGTTAAACCTATTAATACTTATTACTTCTATGGAAAATATTCATTATTAAAGTATTTTGTAAAACTAATCATAGTAGAAAACTCTATTACCCTCGTTGAAAGTATCTGCAATGTTCACTATAATTACAGGATCCATATAATATATCAAATATATAAAAAAAAAATCGGTGATGTAACCGAAAAATGCCAAGGTAATGTAAAAAAAAAATGTAATTTCCTAAAATTTTCAGGAATAAGTATTATAATAATTTCTGACAAAAACAATGAACGAAATAAACATAATCATGTTATCATTAAACTATGTATAGAAGCAAGCGAAAAAACTACCAGAAATGAATTCGGTAGCTTTTTGTAGCCTTCGTGTAATAATAATATTACAATTGTACTATTATTTATCAACAGTGAATTTTATACGTAATCTACAATTTCTCAATGGATAAAACCTCGATTAAATCATCATAGAACATCTTCTGTCTGTAGCCTTGCCCTTGATAACTACTGACTGTTTCAAGAAGAAGTTTTATGCGAAAAGTAAACTCATATATACAGAATGACTTGATCAAAATGTATTGTTATTATTTTAATAAATAAAAAATTATCAAGAGGTCAACTGAAAACTACTAAATTAAAATCATTCATGAAAATGTCATGATTTTTTTAAGAATATTTAATTTTATTTGTATATTTACTGCATTTATGTACTGTATACAATTCTTGGCGCGTTAGATACAAAACGACCTATGGCGAACAAAATAATTCCTAAGCTATAACTACTTATGTCTGAACTAATTAATGACATTTCAAGATAATTCATTAGTATTATTCTAATGTCCAAATTTTCGTTTTTTAAGCAATATATCACTAAGTTTAGTGAATTCGTCATCTGATCTATTTTAGTGTTATATTTTTTGTTAATTGGTTATTATTAAGCACATTACTTATATAAATAGTTAAATATGAATATTACGTGCAAATTAATAAAATAAATTTGTTACTTATTCGAGGAACTTATTCGTGTTATGAGGGTCGTTAGAACTTTAGTGGTTGACTCATACTTGGGCATCGATCGATTAGCAACAAGCTGCAGAGAAACGACATGACAACTGAAGTTGTCTCTTATGACGTCTTATGTTTACTACTCCTATTGGTTGTTATTTCGTAGCACTTGCTAGATATTATTTCATTTGAACTACGTATATATATTAAATAATTACAAAATTCATATTTTTAAATTGTAAAATAAACAATAAAACTCTCGATTTTCTAATGGAAATTTTAATGAAAATATCAACCGTCTAACTTGTATAGCAAATATGTTTGTATTATAAATGCGGGTTGTTAGTGTTGATGAACAAAAAATATAAAAATGGAAGGATAAGTTAACATATAACAGCAATTACAATCATAAGACATAAAAAAGCTATTATGTCAGGATAATATTATTCATGTGGTTTTTAATGTTCAAGCGATTTCAACTAATTTAGGTGGTGTTAATTATAAAGTTATTCGACAATTTGGGTATATTGGAAAAAATAAATAATATTATCTTATATTTATATTTTTACATACACATTTAATACGTTGAGTTTTACGTTAAAATAATGTTACACAGTAAATTAAAAAAAAAACGTTCTTGTAAAAGTATCTATATTATTAAACTTTTACTATGTAAATACTTTTTATAAGAGCTGAAATTTTGATTTTACAATTATATATAACCAATTCAAAAATAAAAAATGACCTCATAAAATAAATACATAAATTTTTCAATTCAAAATTCTGCCTCCTCCTTGTCACCCATAATTAATGCATGTCATACTCGTAGTTTATTAAAATTAATGAAAAATTCAACGAGGTTTAATTATTGTGTGTGTAAAAAAAAAATCCCAACATAGCAATAGTGCGATTTTTTAAAAAACACCATAATTTTTCTCTTGCATAAATCAACAACCATTTCTATCAAATAAAATATTAATTACTACGTTTAATAATGCTGTTGTTTCGTTAAGTACTAATTAGGTTTAAAAATTTCATGGAAAAATTGTTTTAAATTGCAATGTTTAATGATAAATTCTGTTTGTCAACAGATTACCACATTCGACGAAATGACCGGCGTGCGACGCAGTTGACGAATAATATGCCCACCAGCCGAACGTCCTTTAAGCTCGTGCCGTTCAAGTCACCGCTAACAGTTTTCCTATCGTTGCTGGTAGTCGGCAACGTTTTTGACATTACCACTTCGAGACCGGCTTCCGGGCACCATAAAAAACGAGAAATAAGATCGGCACCTGTCTATGAAGATGTGGTAAGTCATGACTGTTACGAATATAGAGTTACATTTTTTTCACCGCTCGGAATTGACTAGCACGCGTTTGTCGATGTAATTCAATCGGCCAAAAGCATATATCTCTTCACAATATTCGAAACATTGATCGTTTTTTACGTACATTCACTATTAGCCACCGAGTCCATTTAAATACTGCATTGTTTGGGGTGCACCACCCCAAAAATGTACCCCCCCGTAAATGAACTACGGTAAGTAACCTACCGCAACGCACACACCTTTAGGCGAAAAAATATATTATAGACCATAACGTTTCAGCTCTCAGTTCGTGTATTTATATCGTACACCCTATTCTAACGTGGATGGATTTAAACGCCATGTGTTGCTTCCGACGCTCTTAAGGGACTTATAATTAATTGATTTCGACTACGTTTTGTGAACGTTACAAAACAAAATGATCGGTTATTGATAAACATAAATGTCCGATACACAAACGTGTTATAATATAGTAACATTTCTTGTACAGTAGGTACACGTGTGCTGTTATTATGTTTAACACTTTTTGATTAACGATATAACATATTCGACTATAAATGTAATTTCCTCGCGTACTGTAAAATCTAACAAAAAAAAACTCTATCATGTCCGTATGTTGGAGTTCTGAACTAGCTAGTGTAATATCAATGTTCTTGTTTGCCTTTGCAGAGTATATCAACGATATTATATTGTCCTTGTAAAAAACAATACAAATGTAGCTCATGTACATGTCAACAAACAACGCATAAGTCTACATGTACTAAAAACCATATTTCCTTAAGTAATCCTTGTTAAAATATTTCTACAAATAGGTAAAGTAAAAAAATAACACAACCATTTCCAATGGAAAACAACTTGCTATGTAAATTTTACACTCATATTTTATTGTATTTTATCATATAAGTAAAATAATAGGTTGTACGTGTGTTTAAAGTTTATATTAATTGTATTTTACTCCATAAATTTAAATGTGTTTTTTTAATTTATGTGTAACTAAATCAGACCTTACCGATTTCTCTATAACGTTAGTGTTTAATTGGTTTTTTCATTATAGTCGGATTATTAGATGAAATGTAAACACATATGTATTTCGTATAACTATTGTGACATTAATGTTTAGCGTGTTAACATTTTGAAATTATTAAAAACGTTATTTATCAACTTGCTTGAAAGCTGTTTGAATGTAAAAACTCATTTTCGTGAATTCCATGTATTGTGTGTACAAGCCGTACACACAATAAATAATGTATATATTTTTTCAATTACAAACAAAGATTATGATTCAAAAATACGGAATCATTCCATTATCATGGAAAATGTATACACACACAAAAATTTAATAATACATATTTTATTTTAAGTTAAAAAGTGATGAATTATACACTACAAAGGGGTGTTCCGTCTAAATCACATAATTAATATTGCACTATATCAATTTCATTGGTATAGTGGGATAACAAATAGGCTAATATACTAATTAGTTACACGTGTTCAATGTATGTGCATTTCTATAATAGCTCTTCAAAGGGTTTAAATGGTTCAGTTGTGTAAGATCCGTTAGATTTTATCGATTATTTCTTGTCTCTTGGGAAATACAGCCATTTGAACTTGACATATCGACTTGCGTTAATTTTCGTGACGAACCATTTAAGGTGTACTCCAACGTGTCATTGCTTGTTTTCCCTAGTTTATGTTACCACCCTATATCATAAACAATTGCTTCGAGGAAGTAATGCCTATTACCTAATTGGAATAAACGACAAACATGTTAAAAAAAAAAAAATTTTATTATTTTTTACTACTTGAAACAAACTTGAACTATCCAAAAGCAAAATCTCTCATTAAAATAAATATTTTATACATCTCTTTGAATTTTTTTTTTGTTCGTGAATTGACGTATAAACTTTTTTGATCATCGTATATTAATCAATTCATAAAAATCAAAGTAGGATAATTTATCAAAACTACGTGAACCGCAAATGATTTTTATGTATAAATAATTGTGTGTCGGTAAAAGTTGAAAAATAAGAGCAAGTAGTTATCTGTTTTACATTTATTTCATAACAGTATTAACGCCATAGTTGTTATTTAATATTGTATTAAAGTTCGACCAATTACATTTCATACAATAATTTGAACTTGTATTAAATTATAATACAATGTACTGACTATAAGATACACACTAATTTGTTGGCTATTAAATATAGTCAATTAACTTATACCAAAACCCTTTGTCCAATTTATTTTAAGATTTAACAAGGTTTGTTTTTATCAGAAAAGGAATTATAATAACTAAATTTTAAGACTATATTTGAGATGTCTGTTTTTAATTTAACAATTTGTTTTTATCAATGCTCTTAATGAATTGCTTCTAAAATTAATTGAAGTACTATCTCATTAATTATAAAGCTTTTTATTTCTCCTTAAACAGTATACACGACCTCGGAAAAGAAATACAAATTCTTATGGTATAGATATCGAATCCTGTTTTTCCTTATTTGGTGGAATATATAAATATATAGTATGTATTAAACAAAGAAAATGGTAAAATATTGACACTGTGATCATAAAACAATTGCAAATAGGTATTGTAATTTTAACATTTAATAAAGTATTCAAGCAACAGTTCAATAAGAACATTAAGTCTATTTTAAATCGAGTAAAAGTAGTTCTATCTTTCCTTTTATGTTTCGATAAATAAATTTGCATTTTAATGCAATCTATTTTCAGAGGCGAAAATAAGAGACAACGAGAGGGATAGATCTATCTAGAACAAATATTTATATAGTGCAGATATAATTTTTTTTTCATTTTGAGGGAAGGTGGTAATGTTCTTATAAATATTGCCCCTAGAACAAGACCATAATTATATTAAAAACGTATACTTTTGGTAATGAATTTTCACAAAATATTTTAAAGAAATTTGCTTTAATGATATCTAATATTTTGTTGTTTAGCTAAGTATGATAATAAATAAATCTAGTAGTGTAGTTATGGACCTATTAACTAATAGATTTATCAAAAGGTCTATGAGTATAGTAAACAACTTATAATTAGTTAATATCGTCCATGTAGAAATATTCGTATCAATTCAATGGTGATTAGCAATAAACGAACATTTTTATTGAAAATGTAGATAAAACAAGACGACTACCCAGAAATCGAATAAATTTAGCAGAACGTTTATCTTTTAAAATGTAAATTGACTTACTGTACTACAAAAATGCATTTTGAATGCATAATTTATAATTAATCGGAAAACACATGCATCTATTGTTATTTCTAAGAAAAACAAATATATTTGCCCCATTAGATAGAAAAAGAACAATTTTCGAGAGCACTGAATTGTGATTAAATGTAATCGATGTGATCTCTGAGAAACCTCTTGTAGTGGTTCAACGGCAATTAAAACACATACAACTATTGAGTGCATATTATAGATTCAAGAAGCAATCCCCGACAAGGCGTTTTAAAAATTCAATATGTTGATGAGTAATTATATTTAGTGGAATATATTTTATTCAATGAAAAGTGTATACAATAACTTTCTTTATAATCATTTGTCCATAATACTTAATTCGATCTTGAGGTCTAGACGCTTATTATAATATTAGCCTAGCGCCATTAATTTTAATCGTTTTATTTATAGATATTTTGTAAATTTTGACACTTGACCTTTTTCTTTATTCACGTGCCTAAAAATTTCATTGTTTTAAATTTGTCGTTGTACCTCAGCGTATTGGTAGTTTTAACATGTACATAACGAATAAATAACCCCCAAAAAAAAATCAAGTTTAAATATTTACACCAATTTATAAGCGTACATATATTATTACTACTTTTTATTTGACTCGTTTGTTTACTTTATTGAATGCTATACAAGTCAAAGGATAATGTTTAATGATGCGTAACTTTTTTTATGTGCGCGAGATCAAACCTTTGATTTACTACACTTGTGCAAGTGCAAAATTTAATTATTATCATTAACACAAACAATAATAGATATGAACTTCATTGCCACTACGAATAGGTCGTATTTTGCTGACTTTAAAATTTATCTTTTTGTTTGGAAAAAGTAAACATTCAATATCAATTTTCTAGAATTGTTTAAAAAGTAAAATAAATAACATTGTCGTGCACACATTTACAAAAAAAAAAATTTCCGCATCAATTATTTTTCTAATGATTCCATTCACGATTTTATCGGGTTCGTTCAGTTATACTTTTTTGTTCATATTGTTACACGTCCCATCAGTGATTACGTTATGGTATATATTATTAATTACTGTGGTCTAGTAGGGGCTATCTGTTTATCTTCTACTCAGTCGAGTGCGGATGCCCGGAAGTGTGTAGTGCATTCACCGACGGTTAAATTCTATAAAGTTATTGCCATGAGCCATTGCATTGTGTTATCAATAAAAATAATAGTATGATTGCCCAAAGAGAACCTTCATCAGTAGTCGCAAAAAAAAAACGCATTCGTTATTCGATGTTACAAATTTATTTTTCAATTTGAAACCGTTTTAATTTAATCAAACTAAATGCTCCGGGTTTTAAAAAATCGATAGATTTACTCATGTGATCTGGTTTTATTATTCTATTGTCTGACGTGAATCTAGTATTCCTAAATAATTTTAATAAGTACTCGTATACACAAAGACTTTGGCTCAGGTCCGCGCTACTTTTATTATTCGATTTCGAATGTTAAAATCAAGTGATTTTTCGTAATGATATCAACCTTTCTTTTGTTAAGAAGAAAATCAGTATCTAAAATGTTCTCTAAAATGTTCATAAACCTAAAAAGCATTAAATCTTGTAAATAATAATAATAATTGTGCGCAATGAATCATTCACACAACAATGTAATCATTTGATTTGTATGACAAACACCATGAAGGCACATTGTGCGTTCAAAAATAATTATAGCTATTGAAGATTTATCTAATTATAACTTTACTGTGAATTAAATACAGAAGTCGAAGGAT